AGGAGTTCCTCTCATCCAGTTTTCAGTTCTGTCTCAGGGGTAATTTTTCCACGAGTAGTTGTAAATTTGCTGTGTCCACGGGAGGAGGTGAGTTCTGAGTCTGCCTACGCCGCCATCTTGACTCTGCCTCCATCCCTCATAGTTTTCTTATTTCTAGTTATAGCCTTTTCTTTTCTATTTAAAGAAGTCTGTTTAACATTTCTTATAAGGCTAGTTTAGTGGTGATGAACTCCTTTAGCTTTTGTTTATCTGGGAAACTCTTTATCTCTCTTTCAGTTCTGCATGATAACCTGGCAGGGTAGAGTATCTTGCTTGTATGTTTTTTCCTTTAAGCACTTTGAAAATATCATGCACTCACTTCTGGTCTGTAAAGTTTCTGCTGAAAACTCAGCTGATAGTCTTATGGGGGTTTCCTTGTATGTAGCTAGTTATTTTTCTCTTGCTGATTTTAAGATTCTCTCTTTATCTTTAACTTCTGACATGTTAATTATAATGTGTCTTGGTGTGGGTCTCTTAGAGTTCATCTTATTTGAACTCTCTGTGCTTCCTGGACTTGAATATCTGTTTCCTTCAAAGTCAGAATTTTAATACTTCTCCCTGCCAGAACAGAGTTAAGGAATGCTCCCAACATCTCCTTTCCCTTGGTATGCCACTGAGTCTAGTGACCATTAAAAACCATTTAAATAGGCAAAATAGACACATTTCTGTTCATTGGGTGTGTCAGCCTTTTCAATCCATGAAAGTGGAATCCTCAGGAATACCCTCTGTGGCATGCTCTGGTTTATCTCAGATCCCATTGTGGCATTGGCATTTTGTTATCAAGCCATTGGTAACAAAGCTGTTACCAAGCTCCAGATGACCCTCATTAGAAGGCAATAATAGAAGTACAATGATGTACACCTGAAATTTTTACAATGTTATAAACCAATGTTACTGCAATAAACAAAAAATTAAAAAATAAATAAATAAATTAATTAATTAATTAAAAAAAAAAAAAGAAGGCAATAGATTGGCCAGAACCCAGAGACGCCATTGGGTATCTAGTGTGCCCCTGTCCAAGTGGCCACTTTTCTACATATAAGCTATAACATACATCTTTTTCAGCCTCACCCAATAATGCGTTACAAACGAAATCAAAAGAAGAAGAAAAAGTTCCACCATCCATGTGTTCCTGGCTTCTGAATATCTATTTCTAGACCCGGTTTCTCCCCAGACCTCTAGATTTATAGATCCAACCGCTTATCTCCATTTGAATAACTAATATACAATTAAAATATTAAATGTCCCAAAACTAGTCATAAAGGTCTTACCTTTTTGTCCTGGCATGGGAAGCAATCTGTCCACTCTGACCAGTTGCTCAGCTGGCAGGTAACTGCTGTTGAGGTGGGACTCTGAGCAGCCCGACTTACTCTCCTAAAGAGAGAAAAGACTCCTCCTTCAATTTTTAAAATTTTTATTATGATAATTTCTATTTTTATTATAAATTCAAAAAGATCTTTTAATATGAAGGTATCTTAATAATATGAAACAGAAGCTGAATTTTTTCCCAGCTTTAATATAATTGACAAGTAAAAATTGTATATATTTAAGGTGTACAATGTGATGATTTGATGTACATATACATTGTGTAATGACTACCACAATCAAGCTAATTAATGCATCTATCACCTCCCATAGTTATCTTTTTTTCCCTTTAGTGTGGTGAGAAGACTTAAGATCAACTCTCTCAGCAAATTTCAAGTATACAATACAGTATTAACTATAGTCGCCACATTGTACATTAGATCCCCAGAACTTATTCATCTTATAACTGAAAGTTTGTACCCTTTGACCAACCCCTCCCCATCTTCCCTACTCCCCAGCCACTTGTAACCACCATTCTACTCTCTGGTTCTAGGAGTTTAACTTTTTTAGATTCCACATATAAATCAGATCATGCAGCATTGTCTTTCTCTGTCTGGCTTATTTCACTTAGCATAATGTCCTCCAGGTTCTCCATGTTGTTGCAAATGGCAGGATTTCCTTATTTTTTATGGCTGAACAGATGCTGAATTTTTTAATTTGTAAAGTTTGCCCATTGCTTTGGTCATCTGGATACCTGTAGCAGCAGAACTCAAGGCAATATATTCCCTTAACCTTCAAGTTATCTGGAGGTGGGAGTGGGGATGGAGCAGAGAGAGGAGGGGAACGTCAACAAATGCACAGGTATTCGTACCTGGAAGGCTTGGCTGTAAGGGTACTTCCAACACTTGAATGATTTTATCTTCCTTCTTAAGAATTATTGCATGTGCTGTTTTTAAAACAAAAGACATGTGGCCTATTGCCCTTTCTCTTTTTTCCAATTATTTTTATTGTGGTAAAATACATATGACATTAAATTTACTATCTTAACCATTTTTAAGCTTACAGTTCAGTAGCATTAAATACAACCATCACTAGTATCCATCTCCAGAACTCTTTTCATCTCCCTGAATCAATTTTGAGATGCAAAATCTAAGCAAAGGAAGAACCTGTGCACACTTTCTTTCCAGTCAATCACAGTTTTAAGAAATGAAGAATGAAAATTTATTGTGTTCCTACTCTACATAGGTATGATGCTGGAGTGTTTATATAAACTCTCTCTCTTAAGCCTAGATCAAGCCTATGTGGATCGAATTACTCTAATTGTAGGGAGACAAGTAATGAAGAGGGATAACACTTTTTGAAGAGCCCAAGTAGCAGAAAGCACAGTGGTTAAGAACATGGGGTTTGGGATGAGAGGACTGAGTTTGAATCTTAGCCACCTTAGCCACCTGACTTGGAAAACTTGAGCAAGCTGCTTAACATCTCTGAGCTACAGCATTCCCATCTGTAAAACAATGTTAAAAATAACATTACCTAATAGGGTTATTGAAAGCACATTAAAATGCTTATGAAGTGTTTATTAATGGTTGGCTTTTATTGTGACATGCTAGGATATTACATGGATTATCTCATTTAATCTCTATACTGATCCTAGGAGGTAAATATTACTGGCCCTATTTTATATAAAAGAAAGTTGAAGTTCCTAAAAGCTAAGTAGTCCCTGAAGTCATAGCCCAGGAATGACAGAGGCAGAATTTGAACTAGTTGATTTGATGGCAAAGTCCATCTCCAGTTCCTCATCATGCTGTTGCCTCCTCAGTTTACAAATCAGCCAACAGAAATGAGAGGGTGAGACCCTTGCCTGGGGTAACAGAGGTAGAAGGTAGAAACTGGTCTGTCTCTAATCTTGTGTTCTGTTATCCCATGCTACCTCCTCAGGGGTTAAAAAGCTTGCCCAGGTCAATCAGCACTCAGGGCGAGGTGGGCAAGCCACAAGCTTGCCTGGCTCCAAGCCTGAGCCTCTTTCCACAGCGTCATCGCTGCTGCTGCAGCTTCACAGCCTGGTCAGCCCATTAGGCAAAGGAGCAAGGTTGTGTGTTACCACCAAAATTACCACAACCTCTGAGAGCCAGGCAGCCCCTGCTGGGATGAATGACACAGTTATCTTCCTTGTGTAGGAAAACAAGTGCTTCAAATCTCATGCTAATTCTGCCGTGAGCTGCTACTCATGATGAATGATGACACTTAGGCTAAATCCCTAGACAAAGAGCCATGGGATTGTCAGGAAAGTGATGGTCACCTTTGACACTGGTCCTCAAACTTGGGTACCAGGACCCTTTACACTCTATCCTGAGGACTCCAAAGAGCTTTTTCAAGTGGGCTAGATCTATAGTTATTCACAAAATTCAAAATCAAAACTGAGAAATTTTTAAAACGTATTTATTTATTTAAAATTACAATAACAAACACATTACATGTTACCATAAATAACACAATTTATTAAAAAATACATTTCCAAGAAAAATAATTAGTGAAAAGAGTGTCATTGTTTTACATTTTTCCTATCTCCTAATGTCTGGTTTAGTACAAAGCAGCTAGATTCTTATTTCTGCTTCTGCAGTCTGTTGCATTATGTTGTTTTGGTTGAAGTCTATGAAAGAAATCCAGCCTCATACAGTAATTTAGTTGAAAAAGTTATGTAGCTGAGGAGCATTTTAATAATCTTTTCAGATAATTGTGGATGTTCTTTGATACTACGCCAAAACTTGACAAGTGGTAATTTCTTAAATGTTGGTTGTAATGTGGAATCTGAAAGCATATCAATGAATATTTTTGTACTCTGCTACATTAAAACCATTGGTCTATGTACACTTTGAATGGATCTGGTACCCATACATGATTTTTGTAACATCAGGCATTGGAAATATAGAAAATAATGATTCGCGGAGGGTGCCTATCTTAAAAATATTAACACATTTCATTATACAATATTAAAAAATCAAATTTGTTAATATCACCAGTGATCTCATCAAACTCATGGTAGTGGATATGTTTTCCAAAATTTTAATTTTTGCTTGAAAGCTCAAATTTTGTTACTGGTAACAAATAATGCTATTTGTTTTCCTTGAAGTGATAGGCTTTCTGTTCAGTTTGAGACAATCTCTGTGAAATATCTAAGCCTGAATACCCACTGTTTGTCTGGCAGCTGTTCTGTCAAGTGAAAACAATATTGCAGGAAAAAAGTGGCTACTTTGACTTATAACTCAAACAATTGCTTTTTTTCAAGACAATCATCACACTTCATACCAGTATGGCAGAAGTTCTTTACGTATTCCTATTTTGTCACATAGAATATTTAAATAACAAGTATTAAAACATTGAGGTTTAATAAGATTAACAATTTCTACTGTTTCAAGAAGGACTTTCTTAAGCAAAACTTCATTTCTTTCCCGTGAGTTTGGTGCCACTGCCTTGATTTGTACCAAGGCCACAGTAGTTTTATCCACCATTACTTTTGTATCATCAGTGCAAATATAAACACAGTGAAAATGGAAAATAATGTCTTAGTATTACTGTGAAATTGTTGTGAACTCCAAGATCCCCCTCCCCTCAAAAGATCTTGAGGACTCCCTGGGGTCTACAGACCCCACTTTGAGAAAGTTGGGTCTATAAAACGATGCCAGTATACGACACCAGCCCTGCTGTCCCCAGCAGCGCCCATCTCACAGTCTTCCTCTCCACTCCAATTCCTCCCATCATCCTGGGAGACCTCATCATCCCTATAAATGAGCATCTAACACTCTGCCCTCTCAGTTACTCCTTTTCCTCACTTCCGATGACCTTTTTCTTCACTCTGCTATCTTCCATGGTCACATGCTGGACCTTCTCATTCTCTGAAACACGTCTTCCTCCAAATCCCTAATTCTTGACTCACCTGTAAGTAGTTATTTTGGGGACCCCATAGCCTCTTCTCCTTCTATATGCTGTAGGATTCTCACTGTACTTCTGTTTGGACCTCACTGGGGCCTCCATTGAGACCTGAGCTTTCTCTAGATCAATAAGACCCCCTCCTCTTTTCATTTCCCTTTATAATTAGTTTTGATTCCATGATCCATCGTTTCAAAATCTTAACTATATCTTAAATTCCTGGACCACAGTGTTCCCTTGATCACACTTACCTGTAAAACCCAATGCTGAATGAACTCAACTATCTATCTCTTCACCTGATTAATTCCTAGACATCTTTCTGTCTCATTGTAAACATCAGTTCCTTAGGGAGATATTTCTCAACACCCACACTGGTTCGCTACCTCCCGTCATATGATTTGGTCAATATCTGCACATCTCCTTCTCAACATATAATTATCACACTTGTAATTTTTGTATAATTTCTGTCTTCCGCACCACACTGTAAGCTCTATGAAGGTGAGTACTGTACTGTCTGTATGTTTGCTACTGAAGTTTCAGCACTTATCATGGTGCCAGACCCAAGGAAGGTACTCAGTAAATACTTAGGAAAGGAAAAAAAAAAAAAGGAAGAGAAGAAGGAGGAAAAAAGAGAGGGAGAGAGGGAGGAAGGGAGGAAGGGAGGAAAGAAGGAAGGAAGGAAGGGGAAGGAAGGGAAAGGAAGGAAGGAAAGAAGGGAAGGCAAAAAATAAAACCAGTCTACGGGAAACAGAATGACATTGTTTAGAGGTTTATTTGAACCTAATTCCCAGTTAGAATCTAATTAAATAATCCTAGTATCTAGATATTCAAATGGCTCAAGGTTTGGTCCATATGTCATTTTTCTGGTAGATTATGCTAATAAAAATGTTTGAAGCATAGGAACATGGAGAAAGACAAGGGTTCTAATCATTGAAAGGTGAGAGAGAAGGTAGAGGGAGAAGGTTTGGAAGCAGAAAATGATTCCAGCATTAGTTCTGCAGCTCACTATGGAATTGTCAAGATAATGTCATTGTAAGCCCACAGAGACTACATTATGATGTCAAAATGGAAGGAAACAGTATTAATGGATGGAAGCAAAAGCTTAGACAGAGCAGGGCTGTGTTGCTGTAGTTTTAAAAGCT